TCTGACTTCTATAGCTTTTAACCTAACATTGCTTGATAAAGATGAACAAAGGGCAAAACTATTTCACATCTTCACATTTGAAACTCTCTGGATTTCTCTATACAACATAGCTTTGAGTTATTTTCTATATTCCTTTTAACTACCTTGTATTTTCTTTGCTACATTGCCAATAAATTCTGCTCTTAAACCAGCTTGATAACACAATGCCTCAATCGGCATCTTCTCCATATTATATAGTGTCTGGCCCTCTCCAGTAAAGGTAATAAATGTTCCGTTGCGCCAAAACTCCAATAAGTCTACACAATAATCCCCCCTCCCCCCTCGTTTCTTTACCTATGTGTCTAGAAAATACACTTTACAAAACAATTATAACTTTATTACTCTCCAGCCTCGATAAAAATTAAAGAATTCAGCAAAATAAATCACTTGATCACGGATCCTCTTTCTGTGTTTAAAAATCGCTACGGCGCTAGCTTACCTATCTTTTTTAAACGATAAACTTGTAATTTCTTAAGATATTCTCATATACGCAAGTTTCGAGATTATCTTCCTTGGTGCGCTCTTTTGTTATGGAGGGGTGTGTAGGCCTATTGCCGCGTAAACAGACAGATATTTATATATTGGATACATTGCATCATCGATGTACTAGTTTATCATAACTACAGGATTGTCAGGATGCACACTACAACTCAAGAATAACCAAATTAAAGGCGTCATTTTAAAGCAAATAAATCGTAACAAAAAAGAAAATTTCAATGGATGTGAGACTTTTAGTGAGTCTTTTCAGACGACGAAAGATACATATATATACATGTATATGGACCTCTGATAAATACGGTACACATGCATCTGATCATTGCACGTCGGCAATCTAAATGACACATTGATTCTTTTCCTTAATAAAACTTGAAAAAAAAATTAATAATATTTAGAAAATGTTTGTATAATCAAGAAAATCGGTTACTTTTTTAATATAAAGAATACGACGTTTCTTTCGTTTTCAAGTACCCTATAATTGAAGGTAGATTTGTAAATATGCATAATTGTGCTTGATAAAATCATCAAATGCATCACTGCTTAACATTACATGTAGTATCTTTCTATGACATTCAATAAATTTTAAAAGCCATAAATATCGTTCATTTATTTATGCAGCTGAAATGGATACTTTTTGCGCCTCTATCGTAGGAGTGTTACAACCTCGAAACTCGCGTATTTGAGATTATAGTGCCACCAAGTTCGTAGACAAAAAGTCAGCATGCATCACCAGGGGAAGATATCAGTTGATGAAAATTCTTGGATGATTCAAAGAAAAATTATATAAAAATTATTAAACATATATTCTGGATGATTTTTCTCTCCACACTGTGGGACTGGAGACCGGTCCTTCGAATGAGACCGTATATAAACCGAGGTCCCGTGTCGCATAAGGTGCTGGCACGAAAAAGATCCCTCATTGCTCAATGGCCATCAGTGCCGAGTATAGGACAAAATTTGCAGCTCTCCACCGGCAAGTGGTGCCGTCTCCATATGGGTGAAAAATTCTCGAGAGGGACGTTAACCACCATACAATCAATCAATCTCTCCAAACTTGTTTTAAAAGCGTACAACACGATATATAGGCATTAGAATATAGCACACACTTTCATGAAGGATTGAATTTCTCCAACTCCATGGAAAAATACATAAAGAGATCAAACTACTCTGCGTATGTCCTAAATTTTTATTCCTGGATAAGGTAAAGATGTTTGATAAATTGCTGGTTTTAAGTTATTCTTTCTACCGTAGGTCGAGTTACTCGGTACAATTGTGTCATCTTCAATATTCCAAACATGTACATAATTATTTAAATGTTGAATATTCATTATTTAGGAACAAAATTAAAAAAAGATCGACACACAAATCATGTCGTTCCTGCTTCGTGCTCAAACACCTCTCTGTATGAGGAGTCGTTTTGGTATTTACTGCCAAAAAGTGATATCACCTCTTCAAATTGAAATGGTGATATCACCAATTCGAATAGGTGATATCACTCATTCGAATACGGTAAACCAAATTTTGTTCGCGTGCGAGGAATTTTTGCGAGGTTTTCGAGAGCCCCGCGCCGTCATCGCGAATATTTCTCGCCGCGAACCGGTGTTCTAAGTCTATTTGCCTATTAACAACAGATCCAAAATAGGCTTGGTCGCGAAATTTAATCGTTGTGAACTAGTTTTTCCCCGGTAAAGAAAGTCGCCGCGAATAAAAGTTGGTTTACAGTAGTTGATATCACAATTCAAAACTGTATCTCATTTCTGTAGTTACAGCTGTCTTTTGTGCTCGATAAATGGTATTGATCAAGATACATTTATCCAAGAATTGTTTAAGTCCATTCTTGGATAAATGTATATTACCCACAATGTTCTAATTATGTAATTTTTTTTCAATGACAGATATAATAGATCATGTTGTACCGAACAGTGGGTTACACCAGGCAGGTAAATATCTCTATCATTTCTTTCAAATTTAAACGAACAAAACAAAGAAATCTGTAAATAAATAAGCAGAAGAATTTGCTTGAAACAAATTTTGCTAGATATGTCAGTCAGCAATTGTATCTGCAAAGAAGCATTTGATATAGATTAAAAAAAGTAATTAAAAAGAAGAGAAGAACAAACATTGGACTTAAACCTTTCTCACTCTAATTGGTTAAGAGGGTTTATATTAAAGTCATAGTAATTAGCTGAGGCGTAATATGTATACTCAAATTTAATTTGAATTAGTTTAAGAATATTGAATGCTCTAGAGTCGCGAAGTAAGTTGATCCCTAAATGTACGTCGCGTGATCGTATCCCACATTGGGAAGTGGGCACTGGTCCTTCGGATGATATTGTATATACCGAGGTCCCGTGTCGCAGTAGGTGCTGTGTTACAACGCTCTTTGAAAAATTACGCACTTTGAAAATTTTTTTTCAAAGTGCGTTAAATTTGGGACCAAATCAACGCACTTTGAAAAAAAATGTGTATGGTCGATATTCTTCGAATCTTAGGAATGATAAATAATTGAACATGTTGGATAAATTTTTGGTGATAATTTTAAGGTCGCTTTTACAGGATGTTTTGCAAAGATATACATAATATAGGCACTGAAAATTGGGCTTACCTTGGGGTGGGGGGGGGGGGGCGTTCAATTTGCTACCGATGACTATATGTTTTTTTTCGGGTACATATAGCCATCGGTAGCAAATTGAACGCCCCCCCCCCCCCCCCCCCCACCCCAAGGTAAGCCCAATTTTCAGTGCCTATATTATGTATATCTTTGCAAAACATTTGTGTGTTTAAGCTCCAGAATTTTTTCAAAGTGCGTTGATTACCTGGTATGTCCCAAATTTAACGCACTTTAAAAAAATTTTCAAAGTGCGTTAATTTTGTCCCAATTTCAACACACTTTGAAATTTTTTTTCAAAGTGCGTAATTTTTTCAAAGTGCGTTGCCACAGTGCTGGCACAAAAAAAGATCCCTCACTATTCAAAGGCCCTGAAAAAATATGCAGATCTTTACCGGCAAGTGGTATCATCTCTAGTCTATATGAGTGAGCTTTCAGTTGAGAGACGTTAGAATAAAAATAATGCACAAAAGACATACTGTGGTTTCATCAATTTTCGTTGGCATCAGTTTTCGTGTATTTTTAAAATAGACGTTTTCGAGGATACGTAATTTCGTGAACGAAAAAATATCCTATACAAATGCAGGATTGATGCAAAGCATCAAATCGGCCGCAAACAAAATTTAGCATTTCAAAAAGTACTTTCAATTTTTAAAAGCATCCATGCCACGAAAGCACAAGATATTCAAGGCTGAAAATAGTGATCATTTTTATTTCAGGTCGTCTTCAAAGCAAAATAAATATTTTTGTTTAAATTGAGTAGAAATTTTAGTGCATTTGCCCATCAAATGGAGTCATTGATGTAATAAAGTCAATGATAAATGTAAATTTATTGTCATTCTTTAAAATGAAAATGTAGACCTATCGAGATGAACCACGTGCTGATACCTTGGACCTTTGTCACGTGATAATGCCCATGGTTCCTGCAGAGTGGGCTATGCTGCAAGGCGCGGGCGGTGCAAAATGTAGAGAAATATATCTTTCTTCAGCTGTAGCACATTCAAAACAATTTTTACTTGTTGAACAACTTTTAATCTTTTTTTTCACCATGCACTTTTACGTCATTATTATCCGGAAAATCATGAAGATTTCCCTTCATATCTTACACACTCCCAGGCTGGGGAGTACCTATTGTAAACTCCTTTTATTTAACCATAAATTATCAATTATCAATGGAGAAATGATAATGAAATTGAAACAATTAATATTAATAGTTTAAAGCATGTTTTCGAAATATTTTACTCATGATTTACTCATGATTTTAAATATGTTATCATTTAAGAATTATTTTACAGCACTGATGAAAAAATAACGTCTCATTTCCCCATGTGCACTTTCTAACACAACCACAAATAGATCGGCCGCTGCGGATAATCATATTTCTTAATTCAATAAACATTTGAACTCGTGGATCTGCTTAACAACGAAATCGTCGAAAATTAATGCTCAACGAATATTGATAAAATCACAGTACTTTATAATTGTATGAACTATATGAAATTGTGATGCATTATAGCAAGCACTGTTAACAAGTCTTTATTTATTTATTTAAGGAGAGTCCCTCTGCCACGAAATACTTCTTGAAGATTTAGGATCGAGTAAGTAAATGTAACTAGCAGATTTACCAAAAGAAAGTTAATTTTGTATTTAACATATAGACATAAAATGCATGAACATTTATAGGTGATTTTGTCTTGGATGAAAACTATTGCATAGAAGACTCTATTTTATGACGACTGTGACTGAAAAATTTTGAAAATGTGTAGATATGATTACAAGTTAACATTTTTAAGGAATAGTTTTGAATACAGTACATCTATTTTCGTATAAATTGCTGTCTCAGTCAGTTCATTACAATCAACAAGTACACCTGGAGTCTCTGCAATCACAGAAATAACATCAGCAGGAATATCAAATGACACAGCGACAGCTACAACTATGCAAGCAGCAGACACATCAGAGGCCACAACTATAAAAGTAACAGAAGTGCCCAATGGCACAGTCATAGAAACAACAAAAACACCCAATGCTACAGTCATAGAAACAACAGAAGCATCCAATGCTATAGTCATAGAAACAACAGAAGCACCCAATGCTACACTCATAGAAACAACAGGAACATTCAATGGTACAGTCATAGAAACAACAAAAACACCCAATGGTACTACCTTAGAAACAACCAAGGTGACATCAACAGTTTCAACAGAAACAGCAAAAGCTGTAAGTGCATTGGTATCATCAGATGCTTCAACAACTGGAACCTTTTTGAACAGCGGTATGGATACTTTCTTTAAAAAGCCTTAAAAATAGAAATATCTTGTTTATATTTTGATCTTTATCCTTGAAAGACGTGTCCCTTGATTGGTTTTAGATTATTAACGTTGATCCATTATACGTGTTGGAGATGTGGGGTGTTTGGGATTGCACGATGTAAGCAAGCTATCATGCAATTATTTTAAAGTTACTTGAATGGCATATTTTAATCCCGTTGTTAAGATATATCCGTACGAACAAGAAACAAGAATGTCAGGAGTCTCATCATTTAAAATTATAATTTTGTAAGTTGTGTGGTCGATGCAATAATCTTTAAGGAAATACACTTTATCATCACCTCAAATGCTACCTAAATTTTTTTTATGCTAATTCTTAGGCCATGTTTACAATTAATCAACGATTTTTTTTCGCTATTTACCAATAAAGACATGGCGCACACCACGAGTGTGACCGGTAGGCAAAGGATATTCACTCCTACATGGCACCTGATTCGACCTCTGATATTTTAGAGCTTTGCTCTGTTCTCGATTAGTTTGTTGGTGAATGTAACTATAAGAATTGCCTACTGTATTACTGTCGGCCTCATTAGTAATGCCTTGACGATTACAGAGGTGGCATGAAGGAAAAGCCTGTCTCCATGTGACGTTATTACGCGCAAACGTCACTATCAATGTTGGTTGGAAATTTTTCACGTTACTCTCTGACAATTGAAAAATGTTCTTTGCTGGAATAGTAAGTGCACGAGACTTTTTACCAGTTTCCTACGTGACGTCATATATTTCACGTTTGGGTAGTTTTGAAAACCTATTTTCGTGCAGATTAACAAAGATTCAACCTTGACAAGTGTCATAATTTCTGGCCACGCTGTCAAAAATGTTTCCCTTATTATGTTCCGATGCGTTTCATTTTCCTTTCAGTAAATTCTATTGTGGAACGATTGCTCATATCACGCCCTCTTATCCAATAGCTTTTATAACTGGTCACAATTTTACTTACTGCCATTGTTTATATGTTTAAATAATTCATTTTTTAACATAAACCCCATAATATAAGAGAAACAATAAAACTAAATTTCTTTGAATTTTTTTTAGGAGAATCCTGTCTTTGTTCCTGTGATTATTTCGACAAGGTGAAATTTTGGAGTAATGAAAACAACCTTCTGAAACAGTTTAAAGACCTGGAGATAAAGCTCACAGAAATCAGAAACCAGTTGGTTGTAAACGTCAGAAATTTATCTTCCAATGTCAGGCTTCGGGTTAGTGCCCCAGATGAGCGGAAATCGTCTGCGGTCATGGGAACTCTTGGAATCATTATTATGTCCTTTGTGTTTGGAGTAATTATAATATCTGACTTTCCAATTTTCTTTCAGCACATCAGAACAATTTTACGCAAGTTAAAAAAACATGAACGCTTTCCTGGATCTAAAAAATAACAAGTTTTGGGGTATACATTGTATATAGTTTAATGATATTTAATTGCATTGTTTAGATCAGAGTATGCCTTTTTTAAACAAAATATTGAAAAATATTTTAAAATTGGCCATTTTTGCAGAATTTTTAAAATGATGCCAATCATGACGTCATAATGTATTGACTAGCAAGAAAATTACGTCATTTTGTATATTGTCAGTAAGAGTCTTAAGCTTTTAAAACAACATAATCTCATTCATTGTTAACTAACTAGGTCTAAAACTAGGCGCACAGGGCCAAAAAAGCCAAAAATGAACCATGTTCTCTACATGGTTTAATCTTTATCGACTTTGAATTTAAAAATTTCATAAAGGTGTTTACTTAACAGTATGATTCTTTATATGAATACAAATGAACCACACAAAAGAATTTCTGAAAGATTTATTCCATAAAATAAACTTGAAGAAAATGTTTAAATACTATTATTTTGAAAGTTTTTTACAGAAAATCGATGTTACACTACCAAATTATTACATGTTGAGATAGGGTACCCCTTTTTTATATAGATTTTCTTTATAAATGAAATTAATTAACCTTTGTCAGTTTGTTCTTCCGCCATTTATATGGAGATCAAATATCTTTTTTTCTTATTTCATAGTCTTTGTAGTTTATCACATATTATAAATAAAGTTCATGTAAACCTGCTATAATTCACGCCAATTTTTCTTCGAGACTCCTCGCAGCCGCAGCTGCTATTTTTTAGCAACTGAAACATCATTTTCCAAAAAATGCTAGCGACCCCAAATGTAGGTGAAAAAATTGTTCGCAGCGAAAAAAACGCGATTCAAAATGTTTATGAAACTCGTTAATTTTTTTTTTTATTTTTTTGTCGCTGCAAATAAAAGTTGTAGAATTTAACATTGAACTATTATCATAATTATGTAAATCCAGGGTACGGTTAAATTATGAAAATTAACGCGGTTTAAAAAAAAGTTCTATATGAGTAGTACAATGCGACTTATCATTTAAAATAAAATGACATTCAACACAATTTCATACTTATCTGTTTAAAAGGTAGCATAAAGCATCAATATATTCTGTTAGGCTGCCCCTTACACTATTTAGAAAATTATCAAAGTTTCTTTCTGAAATAAACATTGGAAATGGTATAACTGTACAAGAATATCTCATGCAAATTATATGATTCTATGAATGTCCACGTATTTGTGAGGAAATATCATTGTCAAGAAAAACTTTACTGTATATCTCATTACCTTTAATCAATTAATGTCAAAAATATAATGAAACAAGATGTGTTTGTAAAACACTAATGCCCCCGTATGGCATCATAGCGAAGAATATTTTTTTTCCAATGCAAATCAAACATGTTGATACCCAAAGTAGGGCTTTCTCACAAAAAATACAAATATGAAATATAAAACCCTATCATAATCTGTTCAAAAGTTATGGCCAAGGTTAACGTTTTTAAAGGTAGGTCAAACTTTTGGGTCAAGGTCAAAGGATGAAGGTTGTTGGCTTCTAAAAAGACCTTGTCACAAAGATTACATATGGGAAGTATGAAAGGCTTAGCTTTAACCGTTCAAAAGTTATTGCCAAGGTTAAAGTTTTTTTTAAATTATGTCAGTGTCAAGGTCAAAGGGTCAAAGTTATTGGTATCCAATGAAAGCTCTTTTCCCAAGAATTACATATGTGAAGCACAAACACCCTAGCCTTTAATGTTATAAAGTTATAGCAAAGTTAAAATTTTCTAAAAGTAGGTCAATCTCAAACAGACAAACAGACGGACGGACACAACAAAAACTATATACCCCGACACTTCGTTTACGGGGCCATAAAATATTATATTTCAAAATCTTTAAGCATATATCACATAAACCTCAGAAGTTTTGTTTCCATATGAGTTACCCATTTTTAAAACAGAAGATAAAACAATATAAGGTAAACCTTTTAACACGTAATAATTTTAAAATTCAACAAAAAGAATTTTCTACATAATTATTATAATTTGTATGCAACTCACATATAGAAATGACACAGTGTCTAAACAACAAACAATACCAACTATGAAAATATTGAATTTCAAAATTCAACTTGAATGTTCCACATATATTTGAAGTTCCGGAAAGAAAAAAAGACTTAATGGCATTTCCTTGACTTCATGCACAGCCGGTTGCAGTCCAACATCAGTAAAAGACCAATGACAAGAGATATAAATAGAGCCCCAACGTACCCCGCCACAGCAGCTGAGGTACGAGTCTACGAGAGTCGGCGGCGCTAGTACGCTTATTAATCGAAGATCCCAAATTATTTCTGTCAATCGTTAGAATTTTCTAAATTTCTTTGACGGTTTTGTTTAAAGTTTCCAGCTGTCGTTTTTGATTTGTAGGATCACTCCAGTATTCCACATTATGAAGGTATGATTCAAAGGGGTGATCTGAAATGAAAGATTATTAGATTACTAAGGAAGGATATGGAGATAACAAACAGTATTCAATACCAAAGTCCATAAAACAATACAAAACAGGAGCAGAGCAAATACGGATCTCCTAACATTAGAGGTGGGATCAGGTGCCATTAGGAATGTGAGCATCCCCTGCTGACCGGTCACACACGCCGCGTGCTCCATGTCATGATCGGGAAATAACGGAAAAATCCGTCGTCAAATCAGTGTATAAATAATTGACTAAAATTCAGTATAAAAAACGTCAGTCAGCATTTGACTCATTGATAAATTGTATTTGCTGATAAGGTCATTGTATCGACCATAGAACTTACGAAATGATGACTTTAAACAAGACTGCTGATTAATGTTTGGATTTTTAAGAAAGATACTCTAGAAATCACAGATATTCTTTGGTTTCAAATACTCCAGTACCATCCAGTAATCGAATTATAAAGAATAGACCCCTTTTACACAGGACTCCTGACAAAATGAACTAATAAATATGCAAGTATATGAGCTTCAAGTATTTATACAAATTGTGAAATCGTTGCATGAGTTTTGTAAACATTCATTTATATCTGAAAAAATACATTAAACATATAAATGCACCATGTCTAGTTCCTCACACAATATTAAGGTTCTGAATTAATCAATGTTTTTTCTAGATACGATAGTTTATACATCAAAGAAGGTTACATTTCATTTGAGTGAAAAAGAAAGTTAAAGTTCATAATTATGAGTGAAAACATGACTTTACTTTCACTTTTGCGTTGCTTGACTTAAAAACCAATGAAATCACTGTATAACATTTAGACCCCAATTACCGGAAGTCAATGTAGCTTAAAGTTTGTCTTACTATGATTTCAGCTGATTATCGATGAATAAATAAGCATTTTACAAAAAAAAGATCTTTATAAGAGACGTTAGCAATGTAGGAAAATATCTCTTGGAGCGAACTATGTCAAGGTAATGTAGGTGTATGATTGATTTATTAGTAAATACAAGCTTGAAGTGGGGGTGCCCTAAAATGAGTTAGGTACCTTGTGGTAAATATAGGTAGGGGGACCCCGTATACGAAACAAGTGCCTGTGAGTAGGTTCCTAAAAAAATTTCAAAGTAATTTATGGAAAAAATAAAATAAGAAAATTAGCAAAAATCAATATTTAACATGAAAACATGTGTCTTTTCTTTACTTCATACAAAATATAAAGGTTTAACGAGGATGCATCGTTTATACTTAACTTAGACCTCTCAGACCTTTTAGGATTTAAGTCCATTTAAACAATACCAATCTGGAACAGAGCAAACGAGGACCTCCAAAACATTAGAAACGGGATCGGGATCGGGCGCCAAACGAGGAGTAAGCATCCCTTGTCGATTGGTCAAAACTACCGTGTGCTCCTTGTGAAGTTCATCAGTCAGCATTTAAACTTATCACCTATACATGTTTTCTAACTTATTCATTATGTATATATGTTCCACAAACGTTTAGTTTTTGATTTGAGGCAATTCACAGGATAAACCTGACCTTTCAGTAAACAGAATGGTCAATAGAGACCTTCAATGTCATAGGGCTTCAGAGGCCTATCATTCAGTCACCTCTCAAGAATTTCATCCTATGCTATAAACTACTGTGCTATAAAACGGTGTCATTTACCCCATGCTACAAACTACTAAAACTGTGTCAGTTACACATTGTATTTTCTTTAAAAAATGAGATTTTTGAGATGAATGTTTCGTATCTCTAGCGTTAATCAAATGAAATATAAGTATAATAAAGAGCAATCAAGCTCAAATATCCATTTAAACATTCAAATCGGGAGCAGAACAAACGCGGAGCCTTTGCATCGTCAGGTGGGATCAAGTGCCATGGAAGAGTAAACATCCCATGTCAACTGGGCACACCCGTCGTGTGATCCTCGCTATGAAAATAAATGGGAAAATCAGTAAACATAGTAGTGTGTGAGCAATAGTAACAATATATGTATGAAAAACACCAGTCAACATTTTACTTAATGATGGCTTGTATTTGTTTGGGAAGTTCATTACTTATGAATGTACAAGTTTCTTTTTTTAAAAAATGTAAAATTCTATTTCATTAAACGTGAAAAAAGATGGAGATTCGATGCACATTTCCAAATGAGACAACTCCATGCATAAAAGATGGCTTCAGAATGGGTATGAAAGTCGTCAGCCAGCATTCCATTTAACAACAAATTGTATTGCAAAGTTGTCACACATTGACCTTTTATTACTTTGAAAATTTCATTCTTTTGTGATGCAATATCAACTTTAATATTCCAAATTGTATTTGTTACCTTTGCAAAGTAACAGCATTCGTTCGCAACCGAGTGATTTTTCAAATCCCTTCCCATAACAGAGTAAAAAAGAATATGTCTTAATATGAATTTTAATTACATGCAAAATATTTCATAGGTTTATTCAATATAGATAGAAATCCATCTTTTGAATTAAACAAACTAATCATAATATGCCAGAGATCAATATATTTTAAAACATTTCTTATTACTTCATCAAATGCGAGAGCAACATTCACTTCTTTG